ATGAAGTTTTTAAAATGTACAAGCGCAATCTTTAATTTAGTTTCCAATATTTAATAGCCGTTCAAGCTCAGTACATTTTTGGACCTGTCTTTTTTTCCGCTCGAGTTTATGGCTGAAAAATTTAATTGCTTGAATTATACTAAGGCTTATTTGTAAAATAATTTTTCCACTTTTGTTTCAGTTTCAATATAATGCCTATAAATGCTATGGGTTCAAATGTATTAAAGAGAATTATGACAAAAAATTTACCCTTCTTGTAAAACATAATTCATTAGGTAGGTTAATTATGAATAATGGTCGACTATTTATCATTTAATCTTCTCCCAGTATTAATAAATTTATATGAATGTTCGTTCCTCAATCACGTAAAAGGGCATCGGCTAATTAAGATAAAATTTTGTATGTATTCTGATTTGTATGTATTATGGTAAGAAATGTCGAGCTTTATACCAACCAAAAGTTCTAAAAGAGTAATAGCAGATAGACATGCATCAAGCGCTTATGTAACATATTTATTGTGATGTGATTCTTGTTTTTTAATAAACTAGTACACATCAATACTCATGGCGTTGTGATGCTTATAATACCGTCGCAATGAAGAGAAAGTTTACTGCTTTAATCTCAGTTTTAAAGTGAAAAAAAGTTGTTCCTAAAATCCTTTCTCTTTTTTATTCGGTAGCATATCAAGAAAATAAGTATTTGCTCTATTTTTACTTTAGTTTTCTTTATTTTTTGTAATTTGAGGAGAGTTGGATGTAACAGTGAATATATATAAATATGTACTTTAGTTACATAGATATAAATCACAAAAGTAAAACATTTTTATTATTCCAACGAGGTCTATTTTAATATTAAGCATTGTATCCAATAGTAATTTAGGTTCTGGGAATTACTGCTAATACGTCTGTGATATATGTTGAGAAAACGTTAATATATTAAAACGTAGATCTGGCCTGCCAGCCGGGAGAATTTTACTCCTGTCACAAATAACAAAGTAAAGTTGCGGTTTTAGGTATTATTCTTTTATACTTCTAGTGGCATAGTTTTCTTTCTCTCATTCATATTATTATTTATACATATATGTATATAATGGAACTGAGTAATGCTATCTCATCTCGATGTTAGTGAGATGCATGAGTAAAAAACCGAGTAAGAAGAACATTTAATACAGTTGCCGATTATTATAAAACGATCTAGTCAGTTTGGTAGTGATAAATTATCACCTAAAAATTGTTTGTATATCTGTGATAAAAGTGAAACATCTATTTATAAAATCTGATATCTTATGACAATTAGTACATTAATATGAATCTTAGTGCGACAAATTTTTCTTCAATTTGACTAACTTACATTGCAATTACTAAACTGCAAACTAGTCGCTGTAAAACTGCAGAGGGGGCAACAAAACTTCATTTCAGTTCAATCGCAATGTGTTCTCAATATAATGGAGATATACAAGTTAATTTTCAAGCATGTGTTAAAAATAAAAAAAATATATTTACTAAGCAATTGTAATAAAATTGTATGTAACTGAGGCATGTAAGATGTTTTAGAGATGAGATCTAAGATTTTCGCGAGTTCTTTTCAGTTAAATGAAATTAATATTTTTCGGATTATACTTCTTGACTTTATTTTCGTAAAAAACTACTTACTCCCGACGTTTCGGCTACTTTTCAGCAGTGGCGGCTGGTGGGTTATCGAACCGGTGGTGCACTTTAATAAAATATTAAAATTAGAAAATGCAACAAAAAACCAATTGACATAAAATATGTTTATTTTTTAAACATTAAATCAATGCGACGACATTTTTCTGAAGCGAAATGTTCAATCACCTTTTTATTAAAATCGAGTATTGTTTGCATAATTATTTTTTTCAATACTAAGCATAGAAAGTGCATTTAGCAAGTGCATGGTATTTAGGAGAAAAATTTTGATTCTTTTCAATTCCCAGTCGTCATCGGGGCTCTCGGTAATCTTCGGCCGCTCGTGCGGCGCTCGAGAACCGACTCATTACTCGGTACATTTCTATGAACTATCTTTTGTTTCACGCGCCAGGCGTATTAGTTCGTATCTCATACAAAATGTATTAGCAGTCCTCGTGCACTCGCCGAAGCGCACGAGATATTAGTTTAGTAAAGCGTACAAACTTTTTGACTATAATTAGAAATTTAATTTTTTATATGTTTTCGTATGTTTAGAAAATAAATATTAAAATGGTAATTTAAAAATAAAGATGAAGTATTTATTTGTAATTTTTAAATCTTTTGAATTGGTGGTTCAGCGCACGAGTGCACTTAAGGTACAGCCGCCACTGCTTTTCAGCAACCGTTATCACGGACAGACGAGATGTGAATGTCTTTCAGTTGGTCTTGTTATTTTATCATCTATCGCCATCGATTGTTAATTTTCTGGCGTACCGCTCTGAATGCCGGCAGAATGCGCCCACGGTGTCCCGAGTTTCTGCGGGGCGGTCACGGCCATGGGATTATAATTTTAATTAGTTTTATTTATTTTCTCTGTTTTAGAACTCTATTTGATTTTAATAAATTTAAATGATATAGTTCGTAATTAGTATATTTTTGGATAGGTTACCGTAATAAATGGATTTTTTTGTTTAGATTATTCTATGTGATCCATATTTGATAGGATACCTTATTTATAATGTAATATAAATATTTATCATTTCCGACAGTATTTACTGAAGTTTTATTTAACTGTTTAGACATCTATTATAAAAAAAAACATACATTATTAGATATATTTCGGAGATGGTCCTTGTAACAGACAATAAGAATCAGTGAGATGGTGGCTATTTGACAGGGGCGCTGATATTCCAGGAAATGCCGTTCTACAGTACATTGTACGTAGCAAAGTAAAACGAGAGCAAAAGTTATACGATTCGGGCTCAAAACAGTAAGTCGTTTCTTTTGAAATAAGTTGTAACTTAGTAGTATTCAGGGCGCTAGTTTGATTAAACACATAACTAGTAAACGTGAATATGGTATTTTCCTTAATTCTCTTCTTTTCTTTCGTTCGAAAACCTTAAATAATCTACATAACGTCTGATTTTTTTTGTAATTGTGATCTTAAATATATTTAAATTAAAAGATAAAAAATAAAATGCATATTACATTCATTTTATAAGAGGAATGTACAACAAAAGCTATGAATATGCAATGTCAATAACATTATTTGTAAAGAGGGAAACTTATACTTCAGTCATGACAGATTTCCAACTTTGCTAAATATTCCCGTATAGACGGCGGCCATAAATCGAAGTTGATTTTGGAAAATATATTTACTCGCGACGAGAAAGTTAGTAAAAGTTATCGGTTTAAACAATTAGAAAGTTATGGAACCTTATTTTTTCCTACCTTCTGTAACTTTAGTCGGATGTTTTTATAAGACTTGTCGCTACCATTATATTTAGCTATCAATCCCGCTACTAAAACTTAGTATATTATTTAGGATTCAAATAGTTCGAAAGTAGACTAATGTGGCCGGAGCTGTTAATTTATACACAGCGTAAAAACAACAGCGGAAACCTGTAGCTGAGACTTACATATTATACATATGTAGTAAAAGAATTTAAAGTAATAAAATATTCTATTAATTTAAAGAGAACAGCAACCATTCTTTTAATCATTTTTGACATTTATTTTTATTAAGATGATATATATTTATAAGTTTGTTAATGTTATTTTATAATCTTGAGCTAATAATATAATAATGTCTCCCTGCAAGTTTACTTCTGTGTTTTTCAATTTGGAGTATTATATCTACTCTCCTTTTATCACGATTATCAACATAAGTTAGGGTATTGTGTTTGCGTAAAACAGTTTCATAAATAAACAGTTGACGACAATAAATAATAACAGAATAATATTAAATTTTGTTATCTGGCCTTTTATGGAACTACATTTTAAGCTTAACTCCTTACATTTAATAATAGGTTTATCTGAATCAGTAGCCATGACTTCGAATATTAAAATTAAGTTAATTTACAATATTGAAAAATCGAAAAGTTATTAATTTATCTCACTTAGCTGCACTGGAGTAAATGAAATGCGTCGTCACTCTCCTCCCTTCGGCGATACTCCCAGCAAAGAAACCGGTGCTGCGTCGCTAATAGCTCGATGCACAAAACCAGCGTCCTGCCTGGCACCTGGAAATTTCGGCAGAAAGGATGACTAAAGGTGAAAAAGTATGGTGCTCTAAGAGTGCAGCTATTTAATTATTTTGTTTAGCTAATTAGTGCAGCTATTACCATTATATTTGGTTATCAATCCGGCTACTAAAAACATATTACATTATTTAGGATTCCAATAGTTCGAAAGTAGAATAATGTGGCCGGAGCTGTTAATTTATACAGAGGGTAAAAACAACAGCGGAAACCTATAGCTGAGACTTACATATACACATGTAGTAAATGAATTTAAAGTAGATTTAAGGCAAAATAACTCAAAGTAATAAAATAGTCTATTAATTTAAAGAGAACAATAAAAAAATAAGTTTAAATAATTTCGTTGGAAATCACTTGTTAATTCTAAAATCCTCAGAAAAAAGAATAATTATATCTTAACATGCTCTTTAAGTAATCCCCCTAGCCCGATGCGCTCACTCGCAATTTAGTCAATACTACGACTCTTCAGCTTAAAGAAATATAAAATATGAATATGATTTTTTATTTTTCCTATATATATTGACAGCATCTGTTGATGTTAGCTAATGCTAGTTAATGCTCGAAGGTTCTTTGTAACGTGGTCCACTAAATATCTTAATGACCGTTCTGACTCGGTCGCTATAGGTTGTATGTTAAATAATTCAGTTAAATGATAGTTAATTAAGGCGTCAGGCGTCATAAAGATGTTGAAGTTGTGGCTCGGGCTCGCTCTAACGGCTGATTCATCGGCGTTATTTAGGGGAAGCAATAGTTTTGGGATGAGTTAAAAAGGCCATCGGAGCTCTATAAACACCTAAGAGTTTCCAAGAGATATATCCTGGGGAAATCCCATGATGACATAGTGACATCGCTCCCAAAAGATGAAGATGCCCCCGAGCTAGAGTCACGACTTCAATTCCATAAGAAATTTATGATAGGAGCACAAAGTAACAGAGCGGGGTTAGGATCAAATAGGAAAGTCCAAGATGCGGATATATTGAAGTCTTTTATTCGGCAAGACAAGAATGATAAATATAAGATCCATGCAATGAATTTAGAAATGCAGAACGAGTGGTTATTAGCATTAAAATGGCGCACTTTAATTTATGATTGGTCGCCAGCATTGCTAAAATTCTATCTCAATGCGTTCCAGATGACTCTCCCAGATCAGAGTAATTTAGTAAGATGGGGTAAAAGTACCGAAAAAACTTGCTATATCTGTGGAAAGGCAGTTGGAACTGCTAAGCATCTGCTGGTGGGATGTAGGGTACTCCTGGACAGCGGTCAATACTCGCGTCGTCACGATAGGGTTCTAGAAGTCATACGTGAAGCGGTTAGTCTTTCGGTAGCCAGAGCGCAAAAGGCAATAACCACAAACGAACGATCAGTAGGTTTTGTGAGAGAAGGCACTAGGGCTACAAAATCAAACGTCAAGCCTTACTCCATCCTTAAAGCGGTGTCGGATTGGACTATAATGATGGACACTTATGAAAAGCAATATAAAATCCCCGAGGATATTTGTGCGTCGGCCTCCAGACCGTATATATATTTGTTTTCGCGAATTTTAAAGCGCGTAGTGATGATAGAGCTTACGGTCCCTTGGGAAACCAACATGCCCAAAGACCATACCATCAAGGTCAACAAATATTACGAGCTCACAAACGAACTCACTCGAAATAGGTTCGTAGCAGATTTGTACGCGGTAGAGGTGGGAGCGAGAGGTATAACAGCGAAATCTCTCTACAACCTACTAAAGGACTTGGGCTTGTCCAGAACTCACATTAATGCATTCTTGGAACGTATATCGAAGGCAGCCCTAGTAGGTTCTTTTCAAATTTGGTTAGGTAGGGAGAGGAGCTTGGACAGTGGAGGTGAGCGTATAATGCGCGTTAGTTAAGGGGCCCCTTAAACCTACACTTGGGTCGCAAGTCCCGGGCAGTGTTGAAGCTCCTCTCCCTGCAACGCGATGGACCCGGCACCCGCACGGTGAATCCATGGAATGATTAGTAGTTTCGTCATCGCTTATTATCGTATCGCTCGCGAACCAAAGACCTGGCTTCTTTGTAGTTGGAAGATGACACTTCGAGATTTGCAATTACTCGTGCCTCATCTCCCTCGAGATACGAAATTAAATAATGATATTTGTTTCAAAGTTTCAAATTTATTTAATTTTAAAAATAATTCTGCTACGCTAGTACTAGATAGTTGAATTGTCTTTAATGTTGTTAAATAATTTTTAAATTTTGTAATCTGGCCTTTTATGGAACTACGTTTTAAGCTTTACTCCTTATATTTAATAATAGGTTTATCTGAATCAGTAACCATTACTTCGAATATTAAAATTATGTTAATTTACAATATTGAAAATTCAAAAATTTATTAATTTACCTCACTTAGCTGCACTGGAGTAAATTAAATGCGTCACTCTCCTCCCTTCGGCGATACTCCCAGCAAAGAAATCGGTACTGCGTCGCTAATAGCTCGATGCACAAAACCAGCGTCCTGCCTGGCACCTGGAAATTTCGGCAGAAAGGATGACTAAAGGTGAAATAGTATGGTGCTCTAAGAGTGCAGCTATATAGTTATTTTGTTTAGCTATTTAGTGCAGCTATTACCATTATATTTGGTTATCAATCCGGCTACTAAAAACATATTACATTATTTAGGATTCCAATAGTTCGAAAGTAGAATAATGTGGCCGGAGCTAATGCTAGTTAATGCTCGAAGGTTCTTTGTAACGTGGTCCACTAAATATCTTAATGACCGTACTGATTCGGTCGCTATAGGTTGTATGTTAAATAATTCAGTAAAATGATAGTTAATTAACAATCGCTTCTTTGTAGTTAGAAGATGACACTTCGAGATTTGCAATTACTCGTGCCTCATCTCCCTCGAGATACGAAATTAAATAATGATATTTGAGAATATCGGATAAATGTTCGTTTTCGTGTACTACAGTTTGAAAAGTATCTCGGAATTCCAGCCAGCGGAAATATGCGCCGTCAAATTTAGCGATTTGAATTTGTGGCAACTTAAAACCAAGACTGTCAGGATCATGATGGTGATGGCACGAGGTTGCAGGAGCTTAAGATTTACGTCGCGCTTCAGATTGTATTTTCGCATTTTCAATGAGAATTTTAGCTGTTGCTATGCAAGAAATAATTTCGCTTTCGATGCCATCTCTCTCATTGATCTCAGAGTCTAAGTTTTGATAATTTCATTTCATTTCAGTTTGTAAATTTTCAAATTTAGTACATAAAGTTTGAAATTTATTTAATTTTAAAAATAATTCTGCTACGCTAGTACTAGATAGTTGAATTGTCTTTAATGTTGTTAAATAATTTTTAAATTTTGTAATCTGGCCTTTTATGGAACTACGTTTTAAGCTTTACTCCTTATATTTAATAATAGGTTTATCTGAATCAGTAACCATTACTTCGAATATTAAAATTATGTTAATTTACAATATTGAAAATTCAAAAATTTATTAATTTACCTCACTTAGCTGCACTGGAGTAAATTAAATGCGTCACTCTCCTCCCTTCGGCAATACTCCCAGCAAAGAAACCGGTGCTGCGTCGCTAATAGCTCGATGTACAAAACCAGCGTCCTGCCTGGCACCTGGAAATTTCGGCAGAAAGGATTACTAAAGGTGAAAAAGTATGGTGCTCTAAGAGTTTTTATTATTATTATAGCCTTTATTCAGATCTTAAAAATAAGTGTTAACAATAAACTATCTTAAAAAAATAAACATAATATCTTAAACTTAATAAGCTACTTAAACTAATATTTGATCCTTGGTTATCATCGCTAGATCTGTTTGCCAGTCGGCAAAGGCCTCCTCCAAATACTTTCACCCATTCTTCTAACTTCGCTCATGCGTAGGATGTCCCATTTGATTTGTTCTAATGCGTACGTTAGTTCCGTTAGGTTTTCTTCGTTTCTCAGGGTAAGTACATTGAGGGATGCGATATATATTACTTATTTTTGGTGGTTACTATTTTTCAGTCTTGGAGGGTTGTGGTCGTTTTCCCCCACGAGGACCAGTCGGCTTGGGGGAGGATTAATATTTTTTGTTTTTTCTTTAAGTTTTTTTCCTTTATTTGCTTTGATCTTCCGGTAACCGATGTAATTTAATGGCTATTCTTTATTTATTTCTGATGTCGAATGGGATCTGTTTCTGTACATTTTCTCGAAGGCATTTATTTTATTAATTTTAGGTCGACCATTTTCGTGGCTTTTGTTTGGAGAGTTTGATTGTTCTCTCTTCCGTTTATCCCGAACATCACCATTTTTATCTTTTACAACAAGCTTATCGTATTTTATATATGCTATAAGTCCCTTTTTTCTTTTTTCTTTTAGCTGCGGTATAAGTTCTCTTCGCTTATCCAAAACTTCTTTACTAAAATCTTCGTTGACAAATATATTTTTGGGTAGTCTATTTTTGTTTTTAAAAATTTCGATTCTCTTCCATACGTTTAAAAAGTTAACTAAAACTCTAAAGAGTGCAGCTATTTAAATAACTTAGAGTATGACCACGTATTGCACGCACATGAACACGTGGCACTATGATGAAAATGTATAATTGTTATTTATTTATTGTAGTTTTAAAAGGGATGTATTTCGTAGTATCGTAATCGTTCTAGCTTAGATTAACTTTTAGTGTTGTATATGAATTTATGTACGTAAATATAAAATATTTAAATGTAGTGAAAATTTTGAAATAATTCAAAAGAAATTGTTTTAAAATAGTGAGAGAGTAATTTTGTTTATTATTCATAATAAGAAGTTGAATAAGACTTTGAACTTGAACTTAAATTCGTTTGACCTTTGTACTTATGACGTGTCGAAACAAAAATAGGCATATATTTCTGTTAATTCTTAGGAATTAACACTCACTGTTTTGGAATAATTGATTGCAAATAATTTTAAAATATGAATAATGCACTGTGGAGGCAATAAAGTAAAGAATAGTTAATAACGTGGTTTTTAGGAAGGACAAAGGAAGGACACTATGTTTTCATAGAATGCTGCCGTAATCGTGGCGAAGTCTTTGTGATATTGCTTCGCTGCCGGACTCGACGACAACCAGAAATGATGAATTCGTCTTCGTATTCGATAAATAATGAATGCGATGCCGTTACCTTTTGATAACCTGGCACGTCGACACCTCGTATCTTGATTTGTCGATTTTCGTATTTATACGTCGATCACGTCGGGGTCACCAATTTATGTGTTCAAATGAGACACTTGCGAGACTTATTATTAAGAATAAAACCCGAAAATACTGTAAATCTTTTCTAATTTCAGTTTCAATAAACAGTTCCGTTGCACAGTACAAAGACGAGTTATAAAATACGTTTTAGACAAAGAAAAGATTTATATTATAATTATGTGTTGGGGTAGTATTAGAAAAAATGTCAATAGTTGCCCCTGTGTAAAAAATATGGTTGACGGTTGATGTCAACATCATTGCTCTGTGAATTATAGAGCCGCGACACTTGGTGAAATAATTATTTCTGATCATTAGTTTATAAGAGCGAGTTAATTATATCAAAATGATAAACTCATTATTTAATATTTAATATCTGAATAAATAAATCAAAGTACATGTTGATTTGTAGTAGATACTTAAATCTATATCTCTTTTCATTTTAGTTTCCTGTTTAATTGAAAAGCATTCTCATGAAATTTGAAACATAATTTTGTTGTTTGGTAAAATGTAGATTAATATAAAAATACTTTCCTTAGAAAATATTAGACTAATATATTTAAAATCCTACAATAACTTTATTTTTAGTCAGAGTATATTCAATGAACACAAAATTTGAATAGTAGTTGATAAAAGTGGCTATGTGATTTAAATTTCAAATATAGCACACAATGAAATAATGCCATGTTTTGGTTTAGCTTGCATTAGGTGGTAAGGCTCATGTAAGCTTAATTGGTGCGAGCGATGCTTTTACTATATCAGATTTCCTATTGCTATCAGTAACCCCACATTCTAATTGTGGCTACAAAGTATCAAATAGAATGGAACAGTGTTATTTTTAATATCAATATATTAAACTTAATCTTAATTTTCGGTGGAAAGTTCTCTTATAAATTATCTGGTTCTTTTAATGCCATTGATAAAGGAATATCTAAATATGTTCGCTTTCGTGAAATAAAAACAAAAATGTTAAAGTACTCAACACATACATGCTTATTTAATTGTGACTGGAACGTTTGACATCTTTTTAGATATACTGTTAAAATAATTTAGATAGTAATAAAACTTGTGAAGTATGTAGTAAATTATATAAAATTAAAGGTATTTTTTTTATTTCATATATAAAACAAGAAAGCATTTCTCCTGATCTTACTATATGATTCAATGAAATTGAAAGCCATTTAAGTTGATTTCGAATTAAATTAATATAGATTGTTTGAAAAAAAGTTAACAAGTAATTATTTACAAATTGATAATAATTATAATTTTGATCAATCCAGTGAATATTCAACTATAAATTTAGTCTATATGAGTATTTTTAGCAAGCTTATTTGACAAGAAAAAAGCAGATATTGATAAAGTAAAAAGTTTTTTTCACTTTTAAAATATAAGTGTCAACTGAACTATATGATGAGAAGAATTTTTTCGGTTACTTTTATTCTGACATCTATCTAATTTATTTTTACTACGATAATCATTTTTTTTATAGGAGGTAATAAAGTTATTTGCATTTACCTATTAATACACAAATTAACCACGTAAAGAGTTAGTACTTTTAGATTATTTATTACATTTTTTCATCATCATTTCAAGCCAGCATCTATAGATTATAAATACAAGTTGATAATTAAAGTTGACATTCTTAATTACAGTGGTTGAGTATTGTAATTAATTATAATCAGTCA